TCTTGGCAAGCGTCCTACAGAACACTCTGTCACTTTAAATGAGAACTCGATTGTTTAGTCAGGAAACATAGCAAGAAAAACGCAACTCAAAAGGCCACCAAAATTAGTAAGAACTTTCTATACCAGAAAATATTTCCCTTTCTTACGAGAATAGGTATTCTTACGATTTACAATGTCATCCTCATCACCATGGATATCTTTCTGTACGTTTGTCTTTGGAAAATTCGACAATCCTCGAACCTAATACAAATGCAAACCAAAAACAATCACGCATAAGCAACCAGATACATGCAAACTAACAAAATCACGTATAAGCAACCAGATACGACCAAGTGGACATGAACAACAAAGAGAATCAACCCATAGGATAGATTCAAGATTGAAAACTCCCCCCTGTATTGCTGCGAGGCTTCTACGTTGTGATCCTTTGACATCAGAACAAGTTGTTCTGGTCCAATTCAAAATTCACCATTAGGGGTTTGTAGGAGCTGTTTGTTTGCCCCTGTAGATATCAGTTTCCACTTTTCAAGACCAAAACATCACATGGAAGAAACACATACATGTGCTGAAAAAGATTTAAAGCGTTACACTTACAATTTAAAAGAAAACATCAAGACTACAGTCTGTAGGAAAATATGTACATGACAAGGATCTGAACCTGCACAACGTTAATGTTCCAATTTTCTCGCTGGAAAATAGTTGTTGCAGAAGTCATCATCTCACATGGAGAAACCCACTGCACCTGATCATCAATTTTGTTTTTGTCATGCTATACATTAATCTGCTCGAACATCTAAAGAAGAGTATGAGAAGGTAAATCAAGTAATATCAATATCTTACCTGCCATCATTTTCCTCATTGAAAAAGCAACGCTGCAATAAAAAGGAGCAATATATTATCATCAAAGAATAAACTCCATGGATTTGTCATATATCCCAATGTATACCGTTACACTGAACAAGAAAAATTCCAAAGAGCAAATGGTAAAGCTTCCATGCAATAACCAACAAAAGCGTATATATGTTAAAAGAATACAGAATGAATGGGCAATTAGTTGAACTATATCATGAATTTTATCCATACCTTCCGTCTTCTGTTTGATTGAATCCCCAACTTAATGGTCCCTGCAAAAAGAGAGAACAAGAAATGGATTTAAAAAGCTCAACATAAGAACCAACAGATTGAAACGTTAGATTTTCAGGGCAACAAAGAAACGTGAATCATTGTCTAATCTAACATACACAATTCACCGAAAAACCATTATTCGAACTGCGAATATCACCATTACAATAGCATGGACAAAAGTTGACGAGAAGTTTCAGAGCAACTGATGCATAATGAAATTTGTAGCAAAAGCAACAATAACCCACTTGATACATCGTGAACAAGTGGGAAGCTTTGCACTAAACAAACCCGTAATCAGAAACACGGAATCCAGATACCTATAATGGAGACAGGCACTTCAGCACAATAAGAACACCTTCCGCTCACCAAGTTACAAGAATCACACCTCAAGTTACTTCTGATTAGCTGATTTTGCTTCGATATTCTCATCAGCAGTTCATACTTCATAGACTTGTACTAAAAAACATAAAAGCTCGATCAATGTCTTAAAGACTGCACGAGAGAATTTGGATTCTAAGAAATAACCTCCTGCCCACTGGAGGACAGTGCATGAGTTGATTAGTGGGTGGTTCTGTGACAGAGACCAAGGCTCCAAGAGTGTCCACTATGAGATTCACCCAAAGCAACTGTTTAATTAAAAGAAAAAAAGAAAGCTCTTTAAACCGATGGATATCCTCTACATACAGACAGCACATAAGAAAGTAGAAAAATCTGTACACGACAAGGATCTGAACCTGCACAGCTTTGACTGGGACACCACTACTTGAAACTACCGCTACAATGTTAATGATGAGAACAACAACATTAACAGTGAGCTGAAATTGGATAATTCTCCGAGTTTTTGCGGACTTTAGATTCAGCACTGTAACTTCACGACATCATAAAAGGAAAGCTGGCCATGAAACATTCTTCGAAATAATGTAATCTTTACTACTATGCATATAAAACAACCTATAGAAACGAAGTATTTGTTAGCTGTTTCACCTTTATACCGACACAGATTATCACAACTCAGTTTAAAAGAAGATCACCGACTTCACTATCATTGGCAACACAGACATACATTTTTCCTAGAATCATCGAGAGCAAGCGAGTGGCCTGATATAATAATTAATCCGTTGGAATCTACACAATATTTTTCAAATAGCAAAATGTATATATGTTGCAGATAAACTATGACACACCATGAAAAAATAGCAAAAGGAGTAGCATCTATCACTAATCTGATTACCAATGTAGGGAGAAAGACATCACCCACCACAATTTCATATATTGAAATTTCAATTCGTCAACCACCTCTTATCCCCTGTGCATTACTCTCCTCTATAAAGTGTAAACAAAAGGAATTAACATAATGCATATAACAGAAATGGTAAAAAATGGAGAGTACGAACCTCCAGATGTATGTCTCTCCCTTCCTCGTTCAGGTTTTGAAATTGCAGACTATTTCTAATCACTTACTGCTGCAAACGTGAAATAGAAAGAAGATAGTGTTCATAACTGCTACACAATCATAATACCTGTCTCGATAACAAAAAGAATAACTGAAAAAGATATGCTGCCTCCATCATCCCATTCCTTCTTTCAATCTCTATGACACAAAATATTATAAAACACCACACACCGTCGGTTTATATAAGCACTGACAAACAAGCTAAAGACAAATTGCAATTTTTTTATTATTATTCTCAGATTTAACATGATTCTGTTTTAATCCCAAGCACTGAAGATACCTTTGCTGCGACCATCACCACTATGAAAGTGAGTTCTTAGCCGATATCTTGCCAGCCAGATATCTTTTCACTTTCAGAATCCGACAATGAACGAAAAGTTAATCCTTCAATAACAATAGGTTCAGTGGCTTATGTACCATAGGTTAATATTTTTCACTCCAGCGCAATAGCTTTGGCAGGTTGGAGGTTGTCACTAGTAACCATTCGAACCTGAAACTCCACAATTTAGTGCTACAAGATTGCCCACCCAGCATGCAGCAAAAACAAAGTTAATGGAAAATACGAAAATATCAGAAAAAAACACGTGAATGCATATATAGTTCAGTTACCCTAAAACTAAATTATTGAATTCCTACTTTTTGTGCCATATAGTTCAAACTAAATGAAGTACCTTCACACCAGCACTCTGACTCCTGGTCTACAGAGATGGTTTAGATAAGAAACTATATTGAGAATCTTGCAGCAGACATGTGGGTGGTATCACAAACAATTTTCCATAGATACCAACTCATTTGCCAAAGTAGTTAAGAACAAACAATTTTGAAAGAAAGTAACCCTTAATTCAGCAATAAAATTATTTTTTGGACTAACGCATTCTATATAAAAACACAACCAAGAGAAATAAAGTATTTGTCATCTTTTTACCTTTACCGAGCCACCGACTATAGCTAGCAAATACTTTATTTCAGTGGATACTGTCTATAGCTTGCCAACAAAGATCATCCTCTGGGATTACAGACTTTTAGAGTTCATCGCATATTGGGATTTAGTCAACCTCATAGATTTTTCATGCTAATGCTACGCATTGTTAATATCTTGCAGCAAAGCCCTCAATAGCCTTTTATAATAAGGAACCTGCAAAATAGGCAACTAACTGGACAAAAAATTAGATCGATTCATGTTACTAAAAAGTGCTGTGCTGCGAGCCTTATAAAATAAAGGGTGGCGGTCTAATTGAAAGGCTGATGGCAATAAAACCTTGAAGTATTAGGTACAAACCTTGTCTTCAGTCACAGCTCACATTACCACATTCTATTAAACAAAGCTATAATGTAATCTTCACTGCTCTCCATATAAAGCAACCTACAGGAATAAAGTATTTGTTAGCGTCTTTTACCTTTATACCGACACAGATTATCACAACGCAGATTATGAGAAGATCGCTGACTTCACTATCACTAGCAACACAGATGCACGATTTTGCTAGAATCATCGAGGGCAAGCGAGATGGCAGATATTAACACTTACCCTTGGAATCTACATAAAATTTTCCATACACCAAAATCTATACATGTTACAGATAAACTATGACATACCAAAAAACAATAGCAAAAGTTGTAGAAACATCAATCACTATCTAATTACCAATGTTGGGAGAACGTCATCACCCACCACAATTTCATACATTGAAATTTCAACTCGTCTACCACCTCTTATCCCCTTTGCATTACTCACCTCTACAAAGTGTAAACAAAAGGAAGTAACATAATGCATACAACAAAAATGGTAAAAAAAAATTGGCGAGTACGAACCTCCTGATATATGTTTCTCTCTTCCTCGTTCTTGTTTTGAAATTGCAGACTTTTTGTTGTCACTTTCTGCTGCAAACGTGAAATATAAAGAAGATACTGTTCATAACTGCTACACACAATCACAATACTTGTCCCGATAACAAAAGAATAACTGCAAAAGCTATGCTGCCTCCATCATCCCATCCTTCTTTCATTCTCTATGACACAAAACATTATAAAACAGCACACACGTCGGTGTAATTAGGCACAAGACAAATTGCAATATTTTTTATTGTTATTTTCAGAAGTAGCACGCCTCTGTTTTAATCCGAAGTAAAGATACCTTTGCTGCGACCATCACCACTATGAATGTGAGATCTTAGCCGATATCTTGTCGGACATCTTTTCACTTTCAGAATCCGACAAGGAATGAAAAGTTATTCCTTCAATGATAATAGGTTCAGTGGCTTATGTACCATAGGTTAATATTCCGCACTCCAGCACAATAGCTTTGGTAGGTTGGAGGTTGTCACTAGTTACCATTCGAACCTGAAAGTCCACAATTTAGTGCTGTAAGATTGCCCACCCAGCATACAGCCAAATCAAACAGGTTAATGAAAAATACGAAAATATCATAAAACACACTTGAATGTGTATAACCAAATTCAGATACCCTAAAATTAAATTGTTGAATTCTTACTCTGTGTGCCATATAGTTCAAAGTAAATGAAGTACCTTCATACCAGCACTCTACCTCCTGGTCTACAAAGAGTTTAGATAAGAAACTCTATCGAGAATCTTGCAGCAGACATGTGGGAGGTCTGATAAAAAAACAAATCAACATATCCTTTAGTACTCTCCACATAAAAACACAACCTACAGAAACAAAGTATTTGTTAGTTATTTAGCTTTATACCGACTATATAGCTAGCAAAAACTTTACTTCAGTACTTAGTATTATACCGACTATATCTCGCCAACAAAGAGCAAGATACAATCCAACAATTCCATTAAAAATCAGCCACTCCGTTTAGGCAAACCTGATTGAGACATGTCGTAAGTTTAACAATATATGTAAATGCTAATACACCGAATAGTAAGCTCATTTAAAACATTTTCTACGTGCACAGGAGTTTCTTCGCCGTTTTCTTTAGTAAATGAAGTACCTTCATACCAGCACTCCGCCTCCTGGTCTACAAAGAGTTTAGATAAGAAGTACCTTCATAAAATTTACAGCCCTCATAAACACTTCAAACATCATTTGACTCTAGTAGTCTTTTTGTTTTTCAGTTTTACATAAACCATTTTTTTTCATGCAAACCAGATAATTCAGAGGACAACAACGAGCATGAAAGACATAAAAACACAACCTATCGGAATGATGCCTTTGTCACAAGAAAGACATAAAAACACAACCTACCGGAATTATGCCTTTGTCATCTGCAACTTTACAACAAGACATTAAGAATGGGCCCTTGCTAGCATCATTTTCAACCTATCAAGAAAGAGATGTTAAACATCATATCAAAACGCAGTTATGAGATGATCGCCAACTTCAGTACCATTGGAAGAAACGCAATCTTTTGCTCAACCCAGTCATTCTATACTCATCAAGGGCAAGCGAGTGGCCTGATATTAATACCCACCCGCTGGAACCTACAGAAGATATCCCATACAACAAAATCTATATATGTTAGAGATA